GTGGGTGCACGTGTGTGTGTGTGTGCGTTGTGCACGCATCCGTGTATGTATATGATGAGATGCAAGACCACACAGTTTCTAATAGTCTGTTGGAATAACAGTCGAGAATCAAGAAGTGTCGTCTGAGTTTAGAGATAAGCACTTGAACGCAAGATAACGAGGCATGTATCACCATAAAACATCCACGTCAAGAGACGTCGAGTGGCCACACATTTTGTCTGCGATCAAATAAATATTACAACAGAAATGTTTCTCACATTTCATTTTCTTCATATAATCATTTTATTTTTAGTTATTTATAATTCGTAGAGACAGCATCTACGTGATTGATCCCCTCACCAAGTTTTCTGTGTGGTTTTCAGGTCAGATGAATGGCACAGCCCTGCTAGTCAACTCCACAACCCTGGAAGAGGTGGACCTGAACAAGCCAAGAGCATAACCACTGCATCGCTGTTATACGTACTCAGGCCGGCGGGAGACACGCATGTCCGTTCATCTCTCTGAAGGTTCACGGACTCGGGTATAGGCGCTATGAGTGTCCGTCCAACCTTCTGTACGTGAGAAATCCTGCTCGACCACAACTAAACTACTATGTCGCACGCACGCACGCATGCACACGTATTTACCATTGTTTTACGAACAACAAGCAGCGACGCACATTGTGCGCACGCGATTTTCTGTCCCTGAATGGCCGACAAGTTGCTCATTGATTCAGTTGGCGTGGGTTTATTAAGTGTGCGATGACATTCACGTGATATCAAACACGGAGGATAAAACCAATGTGATGTTACTACTTAAAATTACTGCTCGGTACTAGCTGTTTAGTTTAGGTCAGGTTCTGTAGTTACAAAGAACAAGGATAGCTTCCTACATGTAAGACAGTAAACTGATATACACATGTAATTCACATGGCTGTCTATATGACTGTTTCTGCAGGAGGGTACCTCTCACGGGGATATCAGGTTGTGCAATTTTGATGGCAACTAGACATTGCATGTCGTACCCACGAGAACGTTGTGTTGGCGTTTGCATTAAAATTAATATATTTTGATGTCTCTGAAACATTAGCGGTTCTTAACACAACTTCAGATATTTCCATGTGCCTTGATTTTACTGAATACTTCAAACAGTTTTTCTACGCAAAAATTGCTATTGAATGCAACGTGCGCGTTAAAATAATAAAATATGCATAGCTTCACCATGATCGTACCTGTAGTAGGTGCCCTTGTTTCAATATTAAAGAAATAAATGTAAGAGTTAAACGATCGAGAAATGTTTGATGCAGACAATTTCTGCGCAAGTGATCGTAAAACATGAGCAGAGAGAAAGAGAGAGAGAGAGAGAGCGATCTGTGTTTAACCGAATGAGTGATATGTGGCATTGGTAATCTCTCAACTATATTCTAGTATTGTACATAATTATTACCCGTGTATCTAATTTTTTTTAACATTTACCCATAACAGGAAGCGTATGATATTGTGTAACATGCTGTGCGATAGATTTCGCTGATTTTATGCGTTTTTTAAGTATTTGTGACGATCAACAATACTCCTCAAGCTAGCTGTTGACACATGACAGTGTTGCAAAGTGATAACTTCATACTTAGATAAACAACATTATTAACATGAGTAACTTTCTTCCTGTGTGTACGTGAATTTGCGTGCCAAATCTGATAGTGATAGACTTAAAAGAAAATATGAACATATTTACACAGATTTTATCTCACATTTCTAATACGAATCCCTGTTGTTTTATGTACAGTAGGCCCCTAGTGCCTTTTTAGGATACCAGCAATAACAATGTGTTTAATAATGTGTAGTATATACTAATTCCATGGTTTCAGCTTCAGTTAATAATAATAAATAATATGTAATCAATTTCTTTTTATTATGGTGGCCCAAATGGCCATTAAATCCATCACTTAAGGCTAGGGACACGGTTATCACCAACCCTGGGCTGGGCTCCTAGAGCTGAGGATATGATGGCCATCTGGGCCACCATGTTCCATAATGCAAGATTTATAGTATCTAACACGAGACTACATCTGTATCATGAATACTTGATGAATATGTTATTGATATTATAACATTCCTCGGTGTGAAATGATTCAGGGGATTAAATAATTATTGCATATAGTGTCAAAGACATGCATATAGTTAACTCATTATGAACTCTGGGTGATGCTTATAAAACTGGGTGATGCTGTTGTTAACCATGACAATATACAAAAACGAGAGACAGTTAAAGTCTCGAGTGATATCGAATTGCGATCAAGTAAATAAATATTCCCATGTAAATAATTGTGTATATATTTTGGTACTATTAATTATAGTGACATTGTTTCACAGATAAGGAATGCATAATAAGGGCGGGAATGCATTATAATGATAAGGGGAATGCATTATACGCTGTTACTTGGACATTCTGTCTAACATTTACCACTGCAGTAGCTTGTTATGACGTCGCAATGTATTACTAATTGTCTACAAAAACTGTGCAAGCATAGTGTAAACACCACACTAGACCAGGGGTGCGTATATTTTTAACTGATATTAATTCATGCTATATATTTCCCCCCCATCGCTATTCCAGTACGCCATTTTTTAAACGTGTACACATGCGACAATCGGCCGTAGTAATAACGCTTGTCTGTATAATTTTGTATACTCATATTTGTTGACAGTCTTGACCATTAGATATTGAAATCCATGTGGTATTAAAATGTATAAAGTACTTCTCTTTGCACTTGTATTATAATTTATACTAAAACGATCAAACCAGGCAGCACACGCCCTTTCCTGTTTTTTTCCATCCGTTCATCCCTCCCTATCTCAGTACATCACACAGAAGACAAACTTACACGAACACGTACAGGTATCTATTTGTATAATTTATAATTGACTATTTACATGTCTATACTGAACAACTCATCTGTGGGGCAAGGAAAACGTATGGAGAAACTGCACGAGATTCATCACTTCACCGCAGCCTTCATCCTCCTTCATACTGATAAAATCTGCTAGGTTGTTACTGCACTCTGAAAGTGAAAAACGCATTCTAAGTATCGCAAAGTAATCTATGCAGTCAGTACGTACATGTGACTTATGTGACTGTTTTGACGTAGCCTAACTCATGCAGATATTATCTGGAGTAACTCCTGATAGTATGTACCCACACATTCTAAGTAACGTAGCACAATTTATGCAGTCAGTATGTACACACGACTTATATATCTGTTGTAACGTATGCAGACAGTACTTACCCGCGTTCTAGGTAATGTAGCATAATCTACGCAGATAGTAGGTACCCAAGCATTCTGAGTAGCATATCGCACAGTTCCTGTAGACAGCTTGTACAAACTACTTATCTGTCTTAATCTAGTATAATCTATGCAGCCAGGATGTACTTAGGCATTCTGCCATATACCCTATGCGTCATACTTACCCGTGGTTTGAATGCAAGGGTAATCTGGAGGTTCCATCTGATATTCTCCACTGGCTAACATGTGTGACCGGTCAGAAGCAAACTGCTCTAGATACACGCGTGCTGGTACCACCCGAAACAACCTGCAAGAACAACGTTTGAGAAATTGCGTGCAGTGCCGAAAATCCTGGGGCCCGTTGTCAGAAACAAAATTAGTTTTAGCGTTAGCCTTACACAAACTTTTCCCTGTAGACCGGACCTCTGTACACTGCGTATGAAAATCTAGAAATTTTACCACATTTCTAGCAACGGTCTATAGGGAAACGGAAATGTTAAGGCTACTGTCACTACTAATGTTGTTTCTGACAATGGGCCTCTGTCTCCATACTTGCTCGTAGTAACATGCTGGATTGATGTGAATTTTAAATTTACAAGCAAAAGGGTTAATGCTGAAGTTGTTTTATACCGGTGATAATCTGGGAGTAGAATGAGATCACTTCTAAATGTTTGAGATGCATATTTCCTGAATGTGTATGGGAACGGCAGCACTGTGTCCAGATCGTATACCAAGCAGCCGACGCAATCTTTATACACAAATATCACGTGATAGTCCTGAAACAAATGAACACTGCAAGAATGCCTACGATCAAGTAATGTTCCAAGAACCACACAAGTACGTATGCGATGTTCCAAACTTCACATGCAGAGTTTTTACATGTTAGGATTGCTGATCATAAGCTTCAAGCCTACTTATTGAATCCAAACTTGATGATCTGAACTATATATCTAGTAGATAACTTTCTTAATGCACAACATGATCTCTAACCTATGGTCATAGCTACTGGCATGCATACCTACCCATACTACTGGTTTTGTGGGGTTACTTGCTGCAACTTGCATCCACAAAGGCACCTGTTATGTAAGACAAGAATACATCACAGAATAAAAAACTAATATCAAATCAAGCAAGAATAATTTGCTACCGATATATGATGTTTTATGCAGTAGTCGCATGGTGAACATGCTCAAATGCAATATGTGTGTACATGCAGTCATGCACGCATGTGCACACACATGCGTGAGTGCGCATGAGTGTGCGCTATTCTCATGCTTATATGTGTGTTTGCAGGTGGTGTAATGAATAAAATTACGAGTAATTATCATTAGCATGGCATCAAATAATAGTAATTACAGTTGCATGGTCAATTAAATTTAAAGTGAGTGGAAACATTTCAGTGGAGCAATTACCGTCTTGTTGGTGTTAGAGATGAACACAGCATGGCATCTATCGAGCTGATCTGGTTGGTGTAATTTCACACACTCACACATCTTCCACACGTTCTCTTCACTATAAATGAAACCAAGAAACATATATAGGTTGGAAACTGAAATGCGATACTAAAGTCCAGCAACTCTATGATGTATCACTACATACATTAGCAAAAACATGCCAAAACTAGATGTGTGCCAAATACAAGACAGCTGTGCATATTAAAATAAATAATTGTCAAACAGAAATATGGTTAAAAATTGTTTAGATACGATAATATCAGGAGTAAGATAATATAGGATTATTATATTATCTTACTCCTGATAATATCATTGTGTATGTAGGAAAATATATCATAACTGTAACTTACCAATAGCATTGTGTGTACACACAAGACGACTTCTCTGGTAGAAAGGATATTTCGCGAGACATCTGAAAGACAGATAGAAGTACATGTGTAACGATACACTAGGGTCATGAATCATGATATGATACGTATTGCGATACACATACAGAAAAAGACAGTCGACATGAATGGTCGAATACTAATGTTGCTTTACTGTTATAATAATCGGATTTCCTATACTTTCATAACACAAATGTATTTATGAGTATGTCATAGCTATATACTCATATATGATAAACAATCAGTTACTATATATCTATATAAATTTCTATGGCTAAAACATACTGAGACGTTCTGAGTGTGCTCCAGACTGACCGGTAATCGAGAGGTACACGTACATGCGCATTATATGCAGTGGTACAGTATGTGCGCAGTAACGACATGCAGCAGTCAATCAGCACCAGATTGTTTAATTTGCAGTAAAAATTTTGTGGCAATACAAGCACATCACGTACATTGACCCCAATTTGTACGCCAGCTGGCCGAAAATATTTACGCGATACTGTGACGGAGTACATGAAATAAAAATAATCAAATTTAAAAAGGATTACATGTGCTTTATTAAATAGTTTAGCTTGTCTTATCCACTCTTTAATACCTGTATCGTTTGTATCACGATACGAATGCTGCATATCAATTATTGTATCGTAGGCCGCTATATTGTGATTCACAGATTTATCGGTGAATCGATCGTTACACCACTAGCTAGAAGAACCTCACACTTTGATGATCAGACATCGGAGAAAAGCAGAAGCTTATTTTATAACTATGAAGTGCTGCTATGTACGATTATGTACGATAATCCCTGAAATCGTCAAAAATAACACAGAAAACCACGTGGCAGCTTCAGTCTCCAACCAAAGTTGCCAACTACGATTCTTCAAGCCCTGCTCGTGTGAATGCCCGCCCACTGTCAGAGTATCTATTGTGGCGGTGGCACCAGTTACCACGGGTTCCCCAGCAAGGTAATTGTGAGGTAGCTCACTGGGAACCATGGACAGAGTATGGGTAAATGTTCTGTGTTTGTGACTGTATAATTATTTGTGATGTCTGCTGTCTATTAGTGTGCGTTTTCATGGTGTTTTACCTGCTCATCAATTGATAGATGTGGATAGACGAATCCCTACATGGGGGCAGCCATGTTGTGTGGCGCGGGCCCTATGAACAGCTATAGTGGTAGATAGGGGCGTGTGAAGAGACGGCGAGTGAGTTCGTCTCTGGAGTCGAGTAAGGGAGGACTCATGGTATGTAGCCTTGTCCACTCTGTGTGTGTGCATGGAGTGGAGCGGCCTGTTGAGCTGTGTGTGGCGAGTATGGTGACAGTGAGCGTACGAGTACCGGTGGTAGTGGTACTGTATGGTCACCGGTGTTCGACGTGGCTTGCCTTGTGGGTGAGAGAGACAGCCACGTCGGCGGGTTGGTGAGTAAGCACTGTTGCATTGTCCTGTTGTTGTGGGGTGAGTAAATAATACAGGGCTAGAATATTAAATAGACCTGTTTAATATTCCTAGAGTATCGAGAAGTATCAACTCTGCACGTATAGAATAGAAACTGGCCTATTCGTGCACAGCCGCACGGGGGGGGGGGGGAGACTGTCGGTTGTTTTAGCCCTTTGCCTGGCTACGTTCATTCTATTTGTATAACCTCTGTGCATACCCCGGGTATACTTGTTATTCAACGTAACGTAAGGCCTGCGAGGCAGGGTGGGGTTGCCCCGTTGTTGTGTTTGTGGTGTACGTGTCGTCCCTCGTCTGCCATTGTTGACTAATCACACGACTGCACCGAAACCGGAACGGTGGGACAGGTTATTGCGGAGGGAGCGCAGTAGCACTGAGGCGCTCTGGTGGCTAGCGGAGTTCGGGTGGCGACGATACGGCCATTTCAACGCATCCGGACACAACAGGTGAGTGCTCTTACCTAAGGTTACTGCTAGTCACTACGTTTTGACTGGTGGCGCCCTCGGGTGTCGCCGGAAGAGCGTAAAACGCTACACTATTATTCCAAATAAGATCCACCAGCCTCTGAAATCACTGCCCAACCAAACTACAACATATTACGTGATCATACAACATATAGTTGAATGCTTCTAGATTGTAGCTATTAATCTTCTCGAATAGAGTAGAGACTAGAGTGGAACTACCACATTACTGATCAGTCTGATGCGAGAGTAATGCAGTTCACTTTTTTACAGTACCGTACCTACTACTACTACTGTTCATAGGGTCTATGTCCCCCAGGGTACTGCCGGAACGTACCCTGGGCCTGGGTACGGTCCGGTATACCGGAACGTACCCTGGTCACTATTTCAGTATTTGATATGGTTAGGGGGGGGTTAGGATTAGGATTAGGGTTACTGCAATACCAGTTAGGGTTAGGGAGTAGGCGTAGGCGACTCCCTAGACTCGTTACTCGTTAGTGGAGTAGGCGAGGTACGGTCCGGCATATTAGATACCGTAGTACCAGGGTACGTTCCGGCAGTAAACCGGGGGACATAGACGATTAGACCATCTCAGCACTACTACTAGTACTAGTAGTAGTACTAGTAGTAGTATTACTAGTAGTACCAGTACCACTACCAGTACCAGACTCACCACAAAATGAGAAGTAAATCAGTGAATTGGTGATCCGTGTGCTAGGTTGTTTCTTTAAAACTGCTGTTGTAAAATTACAGCACGGAGGTTTTAGTTCTACATAATTTAATCAAGAATAACGACAGATAGGCTACACCACGTCAGATTGCACGTTGCATTCCTGCCGTGGTTATCAAGAATCTATTTAGCTCCTTCGTGCTTATGATTGTTTACAACTGAGGGAAACGATGTTGCATCGGTGGCAAAACATCGCAAAGAAATCAGTTCTTATTTATTCCGAGGGTGGCGCCACGTTACGAGTATTCCGGTAAAGAGGAACAGCGCGTATGTTTGTTGAGTCTTCGTGGTGATAACCAAGGTAGGTTTCTAAAACATTCTCTAGTGTTATTGTTGCTATTTTTTATATTCCTAATTGTACGATACTTACTCAGTAATGATGGTGTCTGCGGTACAACAATGTTTAATTTTGTACGTCAACTTAGTAGGTCAGTGACAGCGTCAGTGGCACCAGACTCGGTCGGTGTTTGAATTGAAAAATATATCTTCAATCTTGGGTGTCTAAATCTCTGATCACGAAATGCCAGTTTGGTAAGAATTTATACTAACTGTATGCGCCTCTGCTATTTAAACTAACCCGGCGCAAATCCACTTTAGGCACCTTAGGTATCACAAAGTGATGCACAGATTTCTGTGTATCATCAACTGATGCACAGACTTTCCGTATATCATTATCAAGGAATGATGCAAAAACCCTAACCCTTACCCTTAGATACAATAATGTAACCAAAACCCAGGATAGGGTTACAACGCGTCGCTATGGTTTTCTGTGGAGGAAATTCAGGGAACCCCTGAGTGAATCACTCAGGGCGGTTTGCTGGTGCGTTTTCAGATACTAGAACTTCCAAACTGGGTTTATTCTCAACACGAACCTTTCTCCGCTATCTTGGAACTTACTATGTATCACAATACTCTGTATTAAACTAATATAACCTGTTACAAAAATTCGAAATGACTAGCGGCGAATATACTGAGCGCCATTTCTGTTGACCTGTGACGTATTTCGGTTTGAAGAGCGGATTCACCGACCAATCGGAGGGCGCTGCGTTTGCCGATCGCTATGCGCATTGGGAATGCGTACGTCACAGGTCAACAGAAATGGCGCTCGAAATATCCGCCGCTCGTCACTTTGAATTTTTGTAACAGGTTATATTAGTTTAATACAGAGTATTGTGATACATAGTAAGTTCCAAGATAGCAGAGAAAGATTCGTGTTGAGAATAAACCCAGTTTGGAAGTTCTAGTCTCTGAAAACGCACCAGCAAACCGCCCTGAGTGATTCACTCAGGGGTTCCCGGAATTTCCTCCACAGAAAATCATAGCGATGCGTTGTAACCCTATCCTGGGTTTAGGTTACATTATTGTATCTACCTTGCCCTAAGTCATAAAGTATAACCTTAGGCTTAGGTATCACGAAGTGTGTTAGGGTTAGGGTTAGGGTTAGGGTTTTTGCATCATTCCCTGATATACGGAAAGTCTGTGCATCAGTTGATACACAGAAATCTGTGCATCACTACGTGATACCTAAGGTGCCTAAAGTGGATTTGCACCATGTAGTACTAAGTACTACTAGTACTAGTACTAGTAGTAGTAGTTTAGTACTAGTACTAGTAGTAGTATTTCAATTTGGTTACACGTGCACGATCAAGGCAATAAAGCCATTAAATTTTAACCATTATTGCATTAAAACAAATTTAAGAACCAATAAAATGAGGTTAGCCTATTTGGTCTGCTTTATAGCAAAATCTACCAACTGTGAGCTAAAACTGCTACGGGTCATGTGAGTTGAGGGGACGAGGGGGCAACATAAAGCCGATCAAAGGAAGGCCTGGTGCAAGGTCTCACGGATCAAGTCTAGTTTAAACATACTAGTCCGTAGTGATGGGGTAGTCCTGAGTATCATTCGGTTATGATGCAGGTAGCGTGTTTATACTGATGGTATATGAACCTTCTTAATGCAAACTTTAGGCTGACAGTTGGTGTAATTTACAGATGCATGAAAAATGAGCAGGTTGCACAGTGACAAAGCAGTTAACGAACATTTTACAACTCTAAAAATATTTATAGTAACACTAATTTAAAAGTAAACACTATTGTTTTCTGTTTCGAATGAGAATATTTTTTGTATTGCTTTGTGTGTTTTCAAGAGTTTACACATATTATGTGTGTGGATCCGGGCAGTAGTGGCCGCCACGGCAGCACGGCACTGCCGTGGCACTATTTTGACAAAAAAAATTGTGCAAGGAATCAAGGAGCTGACTGTTAACTGACTGGACTGTCTTGTATTACTATTAATACTGATCAATTAGAGGTGTTATATCAGTGCTCTAAGATTTTGGAATGTGTATTTAATATGACAATGTGCCTTCAAAACAAACTTCAAAATATACAGATGTTCAATCATAGTGAAAGTATAAATGCAGATTGAAAATAGGCTTATTTTTCATAATTATGTACTGATACTGATAGTATATACAATTTTTTAAACAATGTTTTATTAGTTATCATACTCATAATATATGTTTTAGATATTTTAGTCAAAACATCAGCTTTAGCTACATTCCTTTTTGAAATTTACAAATTTACCTTTTAAAATGATCATAATTGGTTGCTTTCAATATAACCTGAAAATGCAGGAAATGCCATTTCCAGGCTCTAAATTAAAAAAAATTCTGGGGGCCCCAGACCCCCCGCATGGGCTTCGCAACTGCAGCATTCGCCGTGTGGGCTGGCACACACCATAACCGCCACTTATGCTATTATTACTGGGTGATCCTACATTTTGGGAGGCCACTACAGCCCTGTGGATGCTACGTATGAGCTTTTGTTAAGCTACTGCTTCTTTCTAGGGAGGCATATAATGCGTATATACATATATGTATACTCTGCTGCCAAAAAACACATGGAGACATTTATTCACCATAAGCTTCATGATTTACGCCCCTGTTCACAGCGTTAGAGGTTCACATCCTCCTATCGATTCCTGTGTCAACATTGTGTGTAAATAAGTAGGCACTGTCTGCATAGTGAAGATTAAGTCATCTTCAATGGACTTTGTTATGCCATGGCGTGTCACCTCGCAATGTAGGCAGCGATACATTGTTTCGATGGCTTTAATTATTTGACGGGTAGCTGTAATGATATACGTTGTTAATTTATTTACGCATGTATGTATATACTGTTTGCGTAATTATGCAGATGGTAGCTGTAATGGTTTTGTCTTGAGTTAATGAAGCCTATTTATGCGCTTCATGCTTTTACACAGTGAAGCTTTGCTGTATATTTTTATGCAGCGTTTTAATTTCTGGCTCAATGAATTTAGTGGAATGTGCGTGAATTTTATGTTTAAGACAAGTTGTATTTTTATGGGGTGCACTAAAGAGGCTCAGCATAAGCTAAACTGTATAGTAACCTGATAGATAAGAGACACATTGAGTTTATCTGGACTACAAACGAATATGAGCAGACCATTTTCATGCATATTTAAAAAAAATATTAATTAAACTCATACATGTAAAGTGAAATGATTAATAGTGTCAGGAGTAGATAATAGGTAGACCCTATTATCTACTCCTGATAGTGTATATATATATATGCGTGCCCACTTTGAGGATTTTATAAATGATAAGGCAAGTAAATTGTAGTACAATGAGGTGTTAGGAAGCAGATTTTCTCAAAAACCATGATGGATACTTGAAAATATTTGAAGACTGTTCCCTAAATCGAAATATTTTATAATATAATTGAAACAAAAATATTCTGATTACCCCTCAAGAGTGGTTGCTACAGTGCATGTATATTTCAGCTGTTTTTCTGCATAAACAATTATTTTCCAACTTGTCAATTCTCGAGGTACAGTGGACATGTGAATTCTTGTACAGTCGACACACAGACACCAGTCCAGGGTTCTCCAAGAGCACTTATAGCCTGGCGGCCCGCCAGGCTATCGTCGAGCCCCGCCATCCTAAAATGCACCCGCCACTCTAAATATCATAGCCGCCAGGCTAAAATTTGCTAAAAAATGGAAAAAAAATGTTAAAACTAGGACCGTAAAGGCAGCCCCGCCATGCTATAATGAAAAAGCTTGGAGAACCCTGCAGTCGTGGAAATACGTGTGAAAGCCCAACCCGTCCTAATTTTGAAAGTTTTGATTCATAATATATAACAAAGTCCATAACAATGAGCTAGTCCTGCTAAATCTTTACCAGTCCCCTACTGGGGGCCTGGCTGGTATTTCCGACAGTGCATTAACCATGAACATCTATACTACTGCTATCATAAATGACCAGAAAGTGAGTTCAACTGGTGTGACATATACTGTTTATCGTTGCCGTTTGTTTTCTGTGGGTGCAGCAGCAGCAGCAGCAGTGATGGCACTGAAGCTTCAGGAATTTAAAGAGAAACAGAAGATCTGTGCACACTGACCAGCCTGTCTGTTAACTGACTGCTGTGCTGTGAGTTCATACTGCAACAAAGACCCGCCCAGACAACACAGCAGGGCACCACAGCCGTTTAGTAAGTACATGCAAATCTTGGTGGACCTGACAGCTGGACAAATCGTGGGAGGGGGAGGGGGGGTTGTGACACAAGCTCCCATGCACACACGCACGCACGGATGCATGTAGGCACGCACGCGCACGCACGCGCACACACACACACACACACACACACACACACACACGCACGCACGCACACACACACACACACACACACACACACACACACACACACAGAGAGAGAGAGAGAGAGAGAG